GGGTACCATCAATCTGAAGGGAGAGCGAGAGAGGAGGATTAATATTAGGAGAAGGAAAGACAAGAAGTTCTGTTTTGGAAAGATTGAGTTTCAGAAAGCGGGCAGACATCCAATCAGAGATAGAAGAAAGGCAAGAGGTGACATGTTGCATGACATCAGGGGAGAGGTCTGGGGAGGAGAGATATATCCGGGTGTCATCAGCATACAGGTGGTAATTGAATCCAAAAGAGGTAATAAGCCTGCCAAGAGAGGCAGTGTAAAGAGAAAATAGAAGGGGACGAAGGACAGAGCTTTGGGGGACTCCAACTGAGACAGGATGAATGGTGGAGGTATCATTAGAAAAGGAGACACTGAATGAACGTTTGGAGAGATAGGAGGAAAACCATGAGAGGACAGAGTCACAGAGACTGAGTGATTGAAGAGTTTAGAGAAGGAGAACATGATCAACAGTGTCAAAAGCAGCAGAGAGGTCAAGAAGAATTAGTATGGAGTAGTGACCTTTGGATTTAGCTGTGATAAGGTCATTAGTGACTTTGATAAGGGCAGTCTCAGAAGAGTGGAGGGGGGCGGAAGCCGGACTGAAAAGGGTCGAGGAGAGAGTAGGAGTTGAGGAAGCAGGCCAGACGGGTGAAGACTAGTCTTTCAAAAAGCTTTGAGGAAAAAGGGAGCAGGGATATAGGACAATAGTTAGAGGTGGAGGATGGGTCAAGATATGTTTTTTTAAGATGGGTACTACAGTAGCATGTTTCAGGACAGCAGGAACAGTGCCAGTAGAAAGAGAGCAGTTGAAGATGTGTGTTAAGGAGGGCACAAGACAAGAGGAAAGGTGAGACGGGACAGGATAAAGCGGGTAAGTGGTGGGGCGAGAGGAAAGGATAAGCGCAGCCACCTCTTGTTCAGTAGCCTGTGAGAAGGTCGGAAGGGTTGGAGAGGCATGATCCAGGAGAGGTTGAAAGGGTGGGGGGCAAGGTGGTGAGAATTATTTCCTTATCTGTTCAATCTTGTCAGTAAAGTAGCAAGCAAGACTATCAGCTGTAAGGTTAGTTTGGGGGGTGGTCACAGCAGGGCAAAGAAGAGAGTTAAAGGTATCAAAGAGATGTCTCGGATTGTGGGAGCATGAATGAATAAGGGAAGAAAAGTAGGACTGTTTGGCAAGGGCAAGGGCTGTGCTGTATGATCGCAATATTAATTTGTAGTGTAGAAAGTCTGACTCGGTGTGAGACTTCCTCCAGCACGAGAACATCTTTGCAAGTAGCATGTTGATTTAGTGTGCCATGGTTGGGGACGTGTCCTCCTTGCGGTGTGTATTTGGAGAGGCGCTGCAGCGTCCAGGGCTGAGGTGAGGGTAGAGTTATATGAGGAGATAGCCAGTGAGTGACATGAGTGAGCAGGAATGGATAATAGTTGGGAATTGATATCAGCTGACAGCTGCTGGAGGTTTATAGAACTCAGATTCCTTCTGAGTTTAGGGGGGTTAGGTTGAGGTTGTTGGGGGAGGGGGCTATTGACAGCAAATGATAAGAAATGATGATCTGAGAGAGGAAATGGAGTGTTGCAGATGGTAGAGACTGTACAATCATGAATGAAAATAAGGTCTAGAGTATTGCCTGCTACATGAGTGGGGGAATTGGCCCATTGTGATAGCCCAAGGGAGGAGGTAATATAAAGTAGTTTTGAAGCTGCTGAGGTCAAGGGTTAGTTACAAATGTCTTATTTGTGTGAATCTTCACCACCTGCACCCCAGAAAAGAGTTGTATGTTATCTCTTTTGACACTACCTTGTCACATTCCATCAGAAAATAACCCCCAAGGATGAAAAAATTCACATTACACAAGAGTTGTTGGACCTTACTTCTTAGAACATTGATAATCACACATTCTATATCAGATGGTTAAAGCAGTAGTAACATCATTGCCTTAGAACTAAGTAAACCAGGTTCAAATCCCGGTCAGACAATAAGTGTCTTTGCGCAAGGCACTTTATAATATATATGACAACCTCAGATCCTCATACATTTTGTGTAGGGCCTTCCTAACCTCCAAATATCCCCTTTCTATAATTTTATAGAGCTTGCAGAATATGTTGGCTCTATCTAAATGCTAATAATAATACAGTATTTCGCTCAACAGTGCCTCCTGCTTTTGTATAAATATTCTAAACAGTTTATTATTTTGCATATCTTATAGACAGGAAGGTTATATAATGATCTCCTAAAAGTGGCGTGTAACTTCTCAAATCCCAGTGGATTAACCCACACCCAAGGTTAATAATTACTAAAATGGATATAAATAACAAAAAGAGAAAATCAAATTGCTGGTACCAGGAGATAGTTATTGCCACTTATCTTTCTGAGGGGGATATATCGTTATTTCTTAGTATAGACTTAATAATCAAAATTGCAGAAAGGGAAAATCTTTAAGGCTGCATCTCACCGGAACACAGACTGATTGGAACGCAAAGTGAATCAAAGTGGAACGCACGCGGCAAGTCTCCCCTTCAGCTTTTGAACACACAGGACTCTGCAGCTGTCTCCAAGCCGGCTTTCGGGAGTCAGCAAACGGCAGAGCATTTGAACTGAAGGTGGTGTAACTCCGGATAAGGTTCCTATACTTTGTAGCCATCAGTGAATATTTTTATAATATTTTTTATGATATTTATGATATTTACGTTTACCAATAAATTTTGTCTTTATGGAAGATACACTGTTACTCTTCTTATTATAAAGACTAACGCTGGAGTGGAAAGGTTTATACTATTGACTGCATCATTTGATCCTTATGTAGAGAAGTTTATTACACTTCGATACATTTCTTTGAACACATCGGATAAAGTTATTTTCTATGTGTATCACATTGTTGTATATTATTGCAATGTGTCACTAGATTAACATATTTGCTCCTATTGGTTAGTTTTCCCTCCTTTCATAATAGAAGGGATTTCAGCCTCATTTATATAGGAGCATACAGCCTAATTAAATCAATAGACTTACTTTGAAGTATTCGGCTAGTCTTCTATGTTTTATATTTATTAAGGACTGTTTTATTCCTTCTTTTTTTCTGTTCTTTAATATTTTTTATGTTTTTATGTTTTTTTAGTACTTTTTATCTACAGAAACTATTTTTGCAAATGTTTTTCAGATATTAATTTTACTATTATTGTTATTATTGTATAATGTTATTTAGCAGATTTTCCCTTTCTGCAATTTTGATTATTAAGTCTATACTAAGAAATAACGATATATCCCCCTCAGAAAGATAAGTGGCAATAACTATCTCCTGGTACCAGCAATTTGATTTTCTCTTTTTGCTATTTATATCCATTTTATTATTTTGCATGTTTTAACACATCTTCTTGTATTGATGTATCTCCCTCACTTTCATCAACATCTACTCTGTTAATCTTTTTGTTTTTAACGTTCACCATTTCTCTTTCTCTTCTTTTTGGTCTCTTCTGACAAATCTCTTGGTGCGTTGAGCGATCCACTTTATTATTTTGTCATTTATTCAGTCCTTTAATCTGCTCTATTATATCACTGTATATGCTCCTAAGCAATGCAAAATATTTTCTACCCCACTTCGTATTTCCTTTTTTTATCTTTCTCAAAACTATTATTTGTAATATTTATTTGTAACTGTATGATGTTTATCCAAATTCATTACAAATTAACAGTGTATAATTAAAAAATAGAAAGCAATGTACTTTCTATACTAATATTAGAATAACTCTGAGCTCTAGGTGTAACTCTTTTCGAAGCCTTCCTCCAATTCCTTCTTTTTTGTAAGATATTCACACAACATATATCAATTTATATTAGAAATTAATATAATTGTATTTTGTTCTTTCAGACTCTTCAGCTTCCCCTGCTGTAAGTATAGCAGAGCTTTGTGTAGTTGGAATGATAAATCACCCTGTGCATCTTTGAATTGCATTTTATATCGATATCAAAATTCTAAATACAGAGTAATCACTATGACCCATGGAATCTTCTCACTGATTGCTCCACACTTAGAGACTTGCTCCAGAATGGCATTTTATAAACAACCTTCATTGAATTGGTGGATCTGTGACATACAAGATTCATGGGGCAAGATGTATTGACACGTTGGGGCAAGATGTGTGACATAAGCAGAAAAAAACTCCAGATATTAAAATTATGAGACGTTTTGTTATTCGCTGGCTGAAACACTTAATTACCGGTTAAAATATTTGCTCACCATAACATTTTTCACATTCAAACAAGTTAACACTGGTATAAACATTGCAAATAAATAGGAGAAATAGAAACAGTGTTTAATTTCTTCTCTGTGTGTTTTATTTATGCTGACTGACAGGTACAAGGGACATAGCTTATAACAATGATTGACAGGGAGATAACATGCAGGCGCCCAGTTACAGGATAAAGAAGTTTGGATTTCTACGTTTAATTTCACTTTTCACTCCTCATAAATAAATATTTCCTAAACAGAAGGCTCAGTGAACATAATGTTACAAATTTTGGGGTGTGACAGTTCCTCTTTTAATTATTCATTATTTTCTATATATTTCTTTTTTATTAGATAATAATTATATTATAGTTTAAAGTTACGTCACTCATTCGAGATTACATTCGACATTGTGTCTAGTTCCTATTTTTTAAGGCACTACTTTCCAGTAGATATGTTAGAGAGGTTTCACATAGCACAGCATATCTAAACATCACTGTATCTTCACTTCTTCACGCTGTTTCTAATCTCAACTTCAATCCTATAATCACCCGCAGAACTAACCACATTCTTAAATTTACCACATTTACATTCACCTCTTGACCTCATTCGTAACCTCATCCTCACTGTTATTATGAAACACTGACTTCTGTTTGCTGTATTGCACTTGTGTGACAGATTTATGAAAAAAAAACACAAAATTATTGAGTTGGAATTTTATTAAAGGAACACTCCAAGTACCATTATCACTAAGGCGCTCGACCTCTTAAATATTTCTCTGGGCATGTTGTATGTAATTATAAGAACACAATGAGTTGTTCGAGGCTCCCTAACTATTGTCTGACAGTTCCTATGTTTCTTTCAGGATAATTACTCAGTCACATATTCAACAGTGAAGTGTTCGAATATTATTGAGGAGACATGTAAGGATCCTCAAGAAGAACTAACTGGATCATCTCCCAACATCTATGAGAATTTCAGTTAAAACTAGCTTCAAACAAACTGTACATTGAATAATTGATCTAAATTAATCATGCAATAATTTTTCTCCAAATGACAAAGGAAAACAGTCATTACTAAAATTAAAATGTTCATTGTGTATTGCTGTAATGCATAAATGTGGGTAACTATCCCTTTCAGTCCATTTCCTGACTTTTTCTCTGTGGGATCAGCCGACTTTAAATGTCCTTTGGTCGGAAACCACATGTATCTGCCAAGACCACACAAAATTCATACAGCTGAAGCCAGCTGAGAGGACATTTTTTATATACTACATTGCACATGACATCAGGATTTCATCAGAATATCTAGACACACCAATGTCGGTAACTTGCCATGGTCTTTGGTTAAATGCTTCTGACCAAAGAGGATTTAAAGATGGCTGACTCAGTTGAAGGTTAAGTCAGATGATGCACTGAATATGATATATATTTGCATTATGTAATAATATACAAAGAGGCTAACATACTTGGTAACGTTCATTTTAAATAATAAAAATAAATGAACATTTTCCTTTAAACTGTCAATATATGTTTGCAGTGATATATCCTAGTTTTTAGATGTAACCAGTAGTAGGGTTCTAGTTGAGTTACCACATGTTATCTGCTTGATAAAAAATAGTCTCTCTCTTGCTCTGAGCAATAAGATGTCTGCTAGGAACCAGATTAGCCTGAATACTTTATATTGAAGTATATGAGTTAAAGACATCTTTAATGTATTATTTACAAAATTTATATATTTTACTTGTACAAGGAACAGCAAAATTAAATTTAAAAAGAATGTTAAAAGTTTAAAATATTAGTTAAATGCACAATGAAAATAAATGTTGCTCCACTTTAAGATTTGTTCAACAATTACTTGCTGTATGTATTCAATTTGAAGCATTATGTCCAGAATTATTTATCAAGTAATAGTTGAAGGACTTGCAGATTCAGATAGTGGACCCTAAATGTTTACTCCAACATCTTTTGAAGTTGGTCCCCACCTTTCAAACCTGAAAGAAAGGCATTAAACTTACCTGAAATCAAGTGCCAGGAGCAGCTCCCTGGTGCTACTCTCCATACCTCCATCCAGCATCAACGCTGCCCTCGGGATGTCCAATCAAATGCTTCTGCCAGAGAAGCATTTGATTCAACGGTTTCCCCATCTTAAAACATGTGCACAAACTGTGAGCCAGCATGAGGAAAATGTGTTTCAGCAAAGGAGGAAGGCAGGAGGGATCACACAGAGGAAGGATGGAAGGAAGTGGAGAGCAAAGCTTCCCTTTGCAGGTACTTCCAAAGGAGTTTGCTTTTTATACCAGAATATTTTGTTTGCAAAGATAGCCACCCTTTCACAAATGTTTTATTTGAAAAATATTGAATATGTTACTGACTTCTTGGGACATGACATCCGTGTACACAGAGATTATTACCACCTACCAGGCAACCTGTCAATTAGCCAAAATTTCTAAATTGCTATTGGCCATGGAAAAAGGATGTCTCCCCAATATTAAAGGCAAATCACTGGACGATGTGGTAAATTCAATTACAAGTTATAATTGATGGTATGTGAATGTTTTGTACACATTTGAAAGACCATCATGTAGCAAATATATTATTACAATAGTATACTCCTACCATTCAGCCACCTCCCTCCCACATGTAAACTGTCTGTATAAATTATGTGTGAATCTATGTTATAGAGCAGGCCCAGAATGCACGAAGGGCTGCGATGGTCATCAGACAAGGCGAACAGGGAAGGTCAGAAGATCTCCCCGTGCAGAGCTGGCACTATCCAAGCACCAGAGCTGCTGTGTGCCAAGATGGGCCACTGGAGAGATCAGAGATCTCCCTCACCGGCCCACTGTCACTGAGTGAGCTGGTAGAGGAAGCAGGGGGAAAGGATCTGGAGGCTCTAGCCTGCAGCTCTGCCGGGTTCTTCCTCCTGCAAGGTCAGAGCGTTGCTCTGTTGATGGACGCAAGGCTTTTTTTCAGCCTATATAATTAAAATATATATATATATATATATATATCCCTTATGCTTCTTTTATGCACTTAATTTGTAAAGATGATCTGGGTTAAAGATAAATTATAGATTTAGTGTTATTCAATGTTATAATTGTAGACGTGCAATACCTTGTCCACTGAGTGAGTCACGAAATATGACAAAATACGTAAGGCAGCACAACAGAAGCCGAGGTATATTTTGTGATAGGCTTGTTGTCATCTTTTAAAGTCACATGCAATAAATTTATTTCGTGAATCTGAGTTTCCTGCACTATTGTTAAGTTAATATTGTATTAAGGGTTTATTGTTTAAAGACATAGTCAGAGACATATCCTATTGTGGATACGGTTTGGATTTTCTACATTGCAATGACTTCCACGAATCATAATTTTATTTATTCAAAACACATTTTGTATGTTTTGTGGTTGTCACATGCCACTTGTTTGTGTGCTTGTATGTGTAAATTAGAGTGTGTGTTTGTAAGTGTAAATTACAGTGTGTGTTTGTGATTATATGGAAATATGTGTGCATGTTTGGTGTAAGAGATTTTGTGTGTGTTTTTATGTGCAATAGACATAGAATGTTTTTTCATATAACTGTAAAGGAGTGCATGTTTTACATGCACCACTATGTCATTCTTTGTAAACAGGTCACATTTTAATCAGTTTGAAAATAACTTCTCTCTGTTCTCTCTGGAACCCAACTCCCCACCTAATGTTGACATAATTATTATTATTATTGCCATTTATATAGCGCCAACAGATTCCGTAGCTCTTTACAATATTTTGAGAGGGGGGATGTAACAATAAATAGGACAATTACAAGAAAACTTACAGGAACAATAGGTGGAAGAGGACCCTGCTCAAAGGAGCTCACAGACTATAGGAGGTGGGGTATTAGAAACATTAGGACAGGAAATATCAAGTAGGAGTGAAGCAGAGCTGGAGGAGAGAGCAAAGCACTGTCCCATAGGAGAGAGCAGGAGACAGGTATGTAAGGTAGAGATTACTCTGGGAGGCCATAAGCTTTCCTGAAGAGATGGGTTTTAAGGCCCTTCTTAAATGATTGAAGACTAGGGGAGAGTCTGATGGCAGTAGGCAAGCTATTCCATAGGAGAGGAGCCGCCCGCGAGAGGTCCTGCAAGCGCGAGTTGGCCGTACGGGTGCGAGCAGCGGTCAGGAGGTGGTCACGGGCAGAGCGGAGGGTATGAGGAGGGGCATATCTATGGATTAGTGAAGAGATATAAGAGGGGCTAGAATTGTTCAGTGCTTTAAATGTATGGGTTAGCACTTTGAATTGACTCCTATAGCATACAGGGAGCCAATGTAAGGACTGGCAGAGGGGTGAGGTGTGAGAGGACCGACTAGAGAGGAAAATCAGTCTAGCTGCAGCATTCATTACAGACTGTAGCGGGGCAATACGGCTTTTGGGGAAACCAATCAGGAGAGGGTTACAGTAATCCATGCGGGAAATTACTAGAGCATGGACAAGCTCCTTGGTAGCATCTTGTGTAAGAAAGGGGCGGATGCGGGCTATGTTTTTGAGTTGGAACCTACAGGATTTGGCAACAAACTGGATGTGAGGCTCAAAGGTGAGACCAGAGTCAAGTATGATGCCAAGACAGCGTGCTTGCAGGGATGGACTTATGTGGATATCACTGACTTGAAGGGAGAGCGAGAGAGGAGGATCAGTATTAGGAGGAGGAAAGACAAGGAGTTCAGTTTTAGAGAGGTTAAGTTTCAGAAAGCGTGAGGACTTCCAGTCAGAGATGGAAGAAAGGCAAGAGGTGACACGTTGCAGGACATCAGGGGAGAGGTCTGGGGAGGAGAGGTATATCTGAGTGTCATCAGCGTATAGGTGGTAGTGGAATCCAAAAGAGGCAATAAGTTTACCAAGAGAGGCAGTATAAAGAGAAAATAGAAGGGGACCAAGGACAGACCCTTGGGGAACTCCAACCGAGACAGGACGAGGGGAGGAGGTATCCTTGGAAAAGGAGACACTGAATGAGCGTTGGGAGAGATAGGAGGAAAACCAAGAGAGGACAGAGTCACAGAGACCGAGTGATTGAAGAGTTTGAAGGAGGAGAGCATGATCAACGGTGTCAAAGGCAGCAGAGAGGTCAAGGAGAATTAATATGGAGTAGTGACCTTTGGATTTAGCGGAGATTAGGTCATTAGTCACTTTGATAAGAGCAGTCTCAGTAGAGTGGAGAGGGCGGAAGCCAGACTGAAGAGGGTCAAGGAGAGAGTTGGAATTAAGGAAGCGAGACACACGGGTAAAGACAAGTCTTTCCAAAAGCTTTGATGAGAAAGGGAGCAGGGATATGGGACGATAGTTAGAAGGGGAGGATGGGTCAAGAGATGTTTTTTTCAGGATAGGTATTACAGTGGCATGTTTAAGGTCAGCAGGAACAGTGCCAGAAGAGAGAGAGCAGTTAAAGATGTGTGTTAGGGTAGGCACAAGACAAGGGGAGAGAGATCTGATGAGGTGAGATGGGACAGGATCGAGCGGGCAAGTGGTTGGGCGAGAGGAATGGAAAAGTGCAGCCACCTCTTGTTCAGTAGCCGGGTAGGGAAAGCATGATTTACGTGTGGTTGAGAAAGAGAACGGCAAGGAGGGAAGAATTGTTTCCTTAGCTGTTCAACCTTGTTGGTAAAGTAGCATGCAAAGCTATCAGCTGTAAGGTTAGTTTGGGGGGTGGCCACAGCAGGGCGGAGAAGAGAATTAAAGGTGTCAAAGAGACGCCTGGGATTGCGGGAGCATGAACTAATGAGAGAGGAAAAGTATGACTGTTTGGCGAGGGCAAGGGCTGCGCTGTATGAAAGCAACATGAATCTATAATGGAGAAAGTCTGCCTGGGTGCGGGACTTCCTCCAGGAGCGTTCAGCACAACGGGAGCAACTCTGCAGATAGCGTGTTGATTTATTATGCCAAGGTTGGGGTCGTGTCCTCCTCGAGGTGCATGTTTGGAGTGGGGCTGCAGCGTTCAAGGCAGATGTGAGGGTAGTGTTATATGTGGAGATGGCCAGTGAGGGACAGGAGAGGGAAGGGATGGATAGCAGTTGTGAATCAATGTCAGCTGACAGCTGCTGGAGGTCAATAGAGTTAAGGTTCCTCCTGAGCTGAGGGGGGTTAGGCTGAGATTGTTGGGTGAGGGGGTAATTGAGAGCAAACAATAAGAGGTGGTGATCAGAGAGAGGAAATGGAGTGTTGCAGATATTAGATACTGTACATGAATAAGAGAAAATAAGGTTGAGGGTATTGCCAGCTACATGAGTGGGAGAATTAGCCCACTGCAAAAGTCCAAGGGAGGAAGTAATTGAAAGTAGTTTAGAGGCTGCTGGGGTTAAAGGTGGGTTAGTGGGAATATTGAAGTCTCCAAGAATTAGGGATGGGATGTTGGAAGAGAGGAAGTAGGGTAGCCAGGCAGCAAAGTGGTCAAGGAAGAGGAGAGGGGAACCAGAGGGACGATAGATTATGGCAATGTTAGCAGAGAAGGGTTTTAAAAGGCAAATTGAATGAATTTCAAATGATGGGAAAGAGAGGGAAGGGGGGGTGGGCAGGGTTTTAAAGGAGCAGTGGGGTGAGAGAAGAAAGCCTACACCACCACCTTTAATCTCCGCTTGTCTTGGATTGTGGGTAAAGTGAAGACCACCAAAGGACAGTGAGGCAGGTGTAGCAGTATCAGAGGGAGAGAGCCATGTTTCTGTTAGTGCAAGTAGGTTTAGGGAGTGTGAGATAAATAGGTCATGGATGGAAGTAGATTTAAAGGATGAGAGCTTGTATTTAGGGTATTTAGGAGGGGTGTGTGGAGAAAGGCTGGATAAATATGAGTAAAGTGTGTGTGATGAATACAGAGATGAGGGGAGTAGAGAGGGAGCAATGAAGATGGTGTGGGGATATTTATGGGATGATAATAGTAAACAGTGAGAATTGCCCACTAATTCAATTCTCAGATCCCAAAGGTCGTTATCGTGTTAAGTGAAAAGTATTTCATATAAATAAAATCACAATTTTGTTATAAAAATAGATTTTATTTTATAATAACAAATTAATTAATAATAATATGTAACATGCGTGACAATAATCAATGAATATCCAGTATAAAATGGTAGGCAATGCAATGGAATGGGTATACATGTTCAATGGCTAAACAGCATTTTCTGTCAAGACTTATGACTATCTTTCACAGAGAGAAAGCGAAGCTTTTCACAGCGAAAGGCCATAAAACCCTAGCTAACAGTTAGATCAACTGAATAACCATTTCAATGCTTGCTAGATCCTCCTAGGTAATTAAGATCTATTCTTATGTAATTTTAAATAAAATAACATTTAAACCAGTTCATTAGTCATTTTCTGGAACCATCCAATAAGAAAATCTACCATGATTTTTACAAAAGCAGAATTTTAATTCGCCTAAAAAGATATCTTATCTTATTTTAGAGCAAATCAATACACCTGGATAAAAACAGCGGTATGCTAACATGTGATACTATCACATTAATATATAATTATTCTTAATTCCACCTGCAGAATGGAATGTTTATAACTATATATTCTTTAGTTAACTAAGATTTCTTAATATGGAAATCTGACCGTGATTTATCCAGTCATATATCATGCTATTAGTACATTTTAATTAATTTAAATTAATTAAATGAAACCAGTATAATTACCAGTTGAGTAGATATTTCATCCGATTGGTAGATAGTCTAAGGAACTTATTTGGATGTCTCTCTGCATGGAGGTGCGTGGGTAATAGTGAAAAGTGGTGTCGGTTAGAAAGTCAGTAAAAGTGTTAGAATTTTAAGAGTAGAGTGTTAGTCTCAGATGTTGTCCTGGGTTTCTCTGCATGTCCGAGTTGGAGTCCCCAAACTTCCAATTCCTCTCTCCTCTTTTTTTTTTCTCTCCCCTCTCCTGTCTTCCCTATGTCCTAACTTTTAAAGGGAAAATTCACTAGTTGCTAGACCAATAGAAACACTGGGGTGTGGTTATCTAGGGATCGCAATTTAGGTATTTGGTCTATAGAGGGCAGTCTTGTCCCACCAAACATACCTATCCAGGAAAGAGTTAACTTTTCCTGATGGCTATTTTGACGTCATTTTGGCTTATCTTTATAGTGGCCGTAACTTACGTTTCATTTCACTTCAAAGGGTTTTCTCTTAGTTTTGTCCAGACTTAGTGTCCGCAGTTCCTGCTATAATTTCTAAAATGGCAGTTCATGAACTAAGTTTAACCTTTTCCGTACAATGGTACCTTATACATATAGAAAGTAAAATTAAATTATTTAATCTCCTCTGTCACAAATGTCTGGGTTTAGAATTGATTATATTCCATTAGCATTTAGACAGTCTGTCCAACCCCCATTCTCCTTATCACTTGGTTTGTATATACTATGCATTCCTTTAGCTCTGGGAAAGTGGTTAGTTTTACGGATAGAAATCTTGTGTCTTTTGTTAACTTGAAAATAACAAAATGGAGTCTGCTCTGTTCAAAAGTGACTCAGCATATACACTTTTAATTTCTATCATAGCACAAGATGTCTGCCGATATAAATACCCTGACAATGGTGTTAGCAGGAACAGGTAAGTAAAATGATAGAGAGATTTTAATGATGAGGGAAGTGAGAGAGAAAGTGAAAAATAGAAGTGAGAACATTAATAGGAGAGTAGGTGCTGTATTTTTAAGAGCTGTTGTTAGGAGGGTTAAGCGTTAAAGAGGTATTGTGTGAGTATAGCTATTTTGGGTGTGGAGGGCTTGGTGGACAGAGGCTAACATAATTGGTTTAACAGGAAAGGTAGGTAATTTGAGCTATCTATAAATGTAGTGATTACCATGGGGAGGGTGGGTGAGAAGCGATCATCCAGAAATGCTACCGCTGCTTATGGCAAGTCCTGCAGGGTTGTGTGCTGGGAGTCCTCGGTGTAGCTGTTTCAATATTGTATGGGGCCCAGGCTATAAAGGAGAGAATCTGGGGTTAGATAAAGCAGATTGTGGGTGGAGAATCATTGGGGTGTTAAAAACAAAATCAGGGAAAAAGCAGATGAAAGGGAATATACATTTAAGGATATGAGGGAATGGCAGAGATAAGATAGGTAAAAGTCATAAATAGGGAACAGCATAAATTAATGAGGCTTAGAGTGCAATAACTAACACTAGCAAAACAAACATGTAACTAAACAAGAGTTAAAGGATGGAGGGTGCAATAGTAATCAATTAAGCAGTAATACTGTGGGGGTGGATAAAGAAAGAAATACAATTTATAACAAAAGTAGGAGAAATAAGAAGTCCAGGTATTCAAGATGATCATCCAGAAATGCTACCTCTGCTTATGGCAAGTCCTGCAGGGTTGTGTGTTGGGAGTCCTGGGTGTAGCTGTTCCAATATTGTATGGGGCCCAGGCTCTGCTTATGGCAAGTCCTGCAGGGTTGTGTGCTGTGAGTCCTGGGTGTAGCTGTTTCAATATTGTATGGGGCCCAGGCTCTGCTTATGGCAAGTCCTGCAGGGTTGTGTGCTGTGAGTCCTGGGTGTAGCTGTTTCAATATTGTATGGGGCCCAGGCTCTGCTTATGGCATAATGAAGAGTTTCACTGTGTGAGTCAAGGGGTTACTGCAATTTTGAATCACTACTGTACTCTTTATAGAGAAAATGTAGTTTAGGTATCAGAAAATAAAAATGTGGTAAAATATAACCTTTATTATTATTCCATTAAAATCACCCTAAATCTTAAAAGAAAAATTGTGAACATGAAGTGACCACTTATATTTATTTCGTCTTTCCATTTCAAAATTACTCCTGACATCTCACCGTGTTCATAAACAGTACCTTTGATGTATAGTAGTTCTTAGTACATAATCGGCCATTTTTTCTTACAAATCAAAGGGACTGCTATGGGGACCAGCCCCCAGTTATGCCAACCTCGTGGGGCATGGAAAAATAATATATCTGGTAAAATCGCAAGTGGGGAGCAAGACTGTTTACCTATAAAAGATACAGAGATTATATTTTTATTGTCTAGAAAGAGGATGAATGTTAATTAAGGAATTTATTAAATCTTGTCAAGATTCAAGATAAATTGGACAAATGTATCAGAAGCTATAGATATTTTCTATTTATAAAAAAAAAAAAAAGCTTGGGTGCTTTTTTGCAAAAACAGAATATTTAACAGTTGTTTATTTAACAGTATGTGAACAGG